CCCCCCCCCCCCCCCCCCCCGGCTTTCAGGGCTTGGACTCTCAGAGCCTGGGCTTTCAGCATTGCAATAGCTGTTTGGCCACAGAGTGTGTCTGGGTAGAACAGGACCTGGGCTTGCTGACCGGAAACAGTGACCTTGTTTTGTTCTTTTAACAACTTGTAGTGGTAAATACTCTTATTATCCTTCCTTGACAGGTGTGGAATGCCCTCCCCAGGCGTGTGACATGAATCAGCCATCTTGGAATTAGATCTCCCACAGGAGATCCATAACATGTGCTCATTAACATTTCTTCACAGAAGCAGTGGGAGCACAGTCATGAGACAGACTCTCACCTGAGATCAGAGTCATTCCCTCTTCCATGGCTGTAAGCAATCCTTCCTACCTGCACATGGTCTTGGAAGGTGCTAGACTATAAAGATGGTACAAGCCATGGCCCTGATGCAGGTTGTGTGGCAATCTGAGTCGTTGTACCCCTCCAGTATGGTTGGCCTAACAGGAAGGCTGGTCAAGGGCTGGGTTCTGTATCTCCAACAGGCTCTCTCTGAGAAGGTACTGCACATCTGGGGACCCATGACGGATGGCTGTGTTCATGAAAGGACAGGAAAGGGGAGGGAGGTGACAAGGTTTTCATCCCAGATCCTCTTGGGTCACAATGGCTGATTTTGGAGGGCAGCTTGGATTTCATACTCCCCACATTTCTGAGTGGCTCTTGCCTCCAGAGTCTGGACACTGGGCTGGGACCACTGGAGGATAATGTTCATTTCCCATGCTCTTTGTCATCTTTCTAGGCCTGAGTTCCTGCTTGACAGGAGCATTTTTGGAGGCCTGGGTGCTTCTTTGGTTTCCCTGGTGTTTGCAGACAGAACTGTGTGGTGCTGGGTACCCTGGGGTGAATAAGAGCCTGTGTGCACCAGGCTTTCCACACTGGCTTCTCACCAGATGCTGGAGACAGCATCCATCTTGCCTATTCTGTGGATGAGGAAACCGAGGCTTAGGGAAGCGGGGCATTTAGTAAAGCTGTCATCTCTTCAAAGCCACCTGTTTTCTACACTTAGGGCTCGGGGCCTGAGCCTTCTGAGTGCTGGGTCAGGACATATACTTTACAGGGGAGTGTCTTAGGCCCAGTTGGAGGCTTGAAGCATGTACTGCACATTTGCAGTACCTTTCCCTCCTTTCTACCCCTGAACCAGAGTTAAGTGTCTCACTCAGGGTCACCAGATGCCAGAGACACTGAGCAAATCAGAACAGAAGTCAGCCAGCTCTGGACCATTTTGCCCCCCACCCCCTCCCCAATACAAGGTTTCTCTGTAACTTTGGAACCTGTCCTGGAACTCACTCTGTAGACCAAGCTTGGTGATCCGCTTGTCCCTGACCCCCAAGTGCTGGGATTAAAGGCATGCATCACCACCACCTAGTTCCATCTTGCTTCTTAAAGCCATCCTAAGGCCTGCACCACATTCGCTTATACCAGGGACAACCTAGGGATCTACTTACGGGCACAGCTGCTGTGTTTCTCTGCACAGGAATGCTGGGAGCGCCAGTGCTGTGGCCTTGTGGCACGGAGAGGCCCCGTGTGCCTGAGGATGGCTAAGGGCTTGTAGGGGCCTCTCCCCTGCATCATGGCTCTGAGCATAGCGTGCCAGTTCCCCACTGTCTGCCTTTGTTTTGGTCAGGGCCACTGTGGAGTGGGGTGCACCTCTGTTTTTTTTTTTTTTTTTTTTTTTTTTTTTTTTGAGGAACTCATCAAAACTTCTGAACTTAGTGGTTAAATTTCAACTCTTGTCTGTCCCAGTTCAGGAGTGGCTGACTAGGGACAGGTGGCCTTGGCTGGGAACAGGACACTTGGGTCACTGCTCTGGTCGATAAACAGCTGGGCAAGCCTGCCAGAGAATTCAACTAAGAGGAATCCCCTGAGAGCACCAGGAAAGGATGTGAAAGATGGGTGAGGGCAAAGTCCCTGTCCCCTGTGGTGTTGACCCTGTTTTGGGGACATGTAGCACAGGCACAGAGCTACCACATAAGTGGACAGAAGAGTGTTCTTATGTCCACAGGTTCAAGAGCATAAGGACTATCGGAGTCACAGTGGCTGAGCGGGGCTGTAACTGGGTGTTCCAATTGCCAAGGGCAGCTGAGATGCCTTGGACCTATCTCCTCAGCAGAGACCCCACTTATCCAAATGTAGTTCCTGAGGTAGGATACCCTGGAGAGGGCGAGACCCTGGGTTCTGCCCAGAGGTTTGCCATCAATACCAACAGTATTCCTTTTATGTATAAAGGGTCAACAAAGGGGCAAAAGGATTTGGTGGCCCCGGCCATGCTGCTTGGATTTTGTGTTGGCCTCAGGAAGCCCCACTCTGGAGCAGCCATCTGTTTGTTCTCCAACATCTAAAGGGGGCCCATGGGAAGGCCTATAAGAGTGTTCGTTGGTACTATTAAGTTTTGAGTCTGTGAGAGCATGGGGAAGTCTAACATCACAGATTCCAGATCTTAGATCTACAAAACACAGATGATTGGGATGAAGTGTGGGTGATCTGTGGGCTCAAGAAGGGGAGAGAGAAGACAGGAGAGAAGGAGAGAGACAGACACAGAGAGACAGACACAGAGAGAAGACAAAAGGAATTGTGCTTCATATTGTTATTGTTTTTAATTTTTGCCTGTATTATTTTTATTTACATTTAGTTATATAATCAACAAGTTCATTTTAAAAAGGAATAAGCCAGGCATTGGTGGCACACGCCTTTAATCCCAGCACTCGGGAGGCAGAGGCAGGCAGATCTCTGTGAGTTCGAGGCCAGCCTGGTCTCCAGAGCGAGTGCCAGGATAGGCTCCAAAGCTACACAGAGAAACCCTTTCTCGAAAAACCAATAAATAAATAAATAAATAAATAAATAAAAAGGAATAAAAACTTAAATTGCCTTTTATTTTGTGCGTGTGTGAAGGTTGGAGGACACACAACTTGTGGGAATCAATCCTCTCCTTCCACCATGTGGGTCCTGGGACCGTCTGGTTTGGTGTAAACCATCTTTACTAGGTGAGTCATCTTGCTGGCACAGATAAATTCCTTTTATTTCCTTAAGCTGGCTTCTACACGGTGACATTTGTATCTCTGTTCTGAAGATGGAGGAAACTATGCTCGGAGTGGTGGCCTGTGTTGGGGGTGCCTCCTGGCTGGCAAGTGACTGGACCAGGACTCCCATGGATTTTGAGCCCATCCCACAATGCTAAGGAGACTGAACTGGAAAGAAAGTGCAGCTAAATGTGTGGCCACACAGGAGGTCTTAAGGTACATGTGGCCACACTTTGCTATTGAAGTTCTGGGACACACATGAGGAATGCAACAGATGCCTGGAGAACACAGTAGGACCTATCACCCAACCTCTTGGGTGGCTACAGTGGGGTGTCTGGGGGTTGGTGGAAAGAAGCCTCCATGGGAGCACGCACTCTGGTTGCCATTGCTGTCTAAGGAAATACGCTGAAAGGGTGAGGTGAAAACAACCACAGCTCACATGGCCACGCATATGCATTTCTGGCTGGGCTCTGTGACGCCTGCTCTTCTCTGCTCCTTGTGGTACCAGTTATGCTGGCTCATGGTGTGGCACCCTCACTTCAATAAGGCATCTTCTGTGGCTGGGGTTCTCTCTGCAGGGAAGCTTGGGGCTAAGTGGGTCAAGGGCAAGGGTCCCAGGACTCAGGAAGTGGACACTGCTAATCTTTAAAGGCCTAGCCTGGTGAGTAGTCGAGGACGTCATGGAGTTCTTCTGATCTAGCAGCTCAGAAGTCAGGGGAAAGGTCAAGGTCTCACTTCTGAAGGGTTGCTCAAGAGGCCAGGCAGGCTCCTCAGAGAGCCAACTTTAGAGCCATGAGTGAGCATGTCAACAGCCCACCCTGCTGCTGCCAATGTCCTCACCTGGAGAAGGACACAGCCAGTCTTTTGGGCACAGAAAGCTATTCTCTCCTGTGACCCTGAACTGTCATCTTGGTTCCTAGTGGTAGAGTCTTCATGGACAGCATCCTGGGTGAAGCAGGTGAGGAGGAGGAGGAGGATTACCAAAGGCCTTGGTGTGCTCACTGCAAGGAGAGACTGTTGAGGAGCTGTCCCCACAACCTGGGTAGAGGCCAGCAGCCATTCAATACAGGTGTCTGTCCACCTGAGGGCAAGTCCAGGCACTGATGGTGTGGATCCCTTCTCCCTCCTCAGTGTGTAGTGTGGGGACTCTCCTGTCTGCCCACATCTCCACACTACCTCCCACTCCAGGCCTCCATCATGCTTGCAGGCCCCAGCAGAGCCTCTATAGCTGCCCTTCCTCAGGTAAGAAGGATCCCCATTGCTTCCCCAACACCCCAGGTAGAGTGGCTTTTTTTTTTTTTTTTAAACAGGGTTTCTCTGTGGCTTTGGAGGCTGTCCTGGAACTAGCTCTTATAGACCAGGCTGTAGAGTGGCTTTTCTTTCTTTCTTTCTTTCTTTCTTTCTTTTTTCTTTTAAGATTTATTTATTTATTATTATGCCTGCGTGTATGCCTGCAGGCCAGAAGAGGGCACCAAGTCTCACTACAGATGGTTGGGAGCTACCATGTGGTTGCTGGGAATTCAACTCCCGGACTTTTGGAAGAGCAGGCAGTGCTCTTAACCTCTGAGCCATCTCTCTAGCCCCCCTGTAGAGTGGCTTTTCAAAACATAAATCTGTTTTTCTTTTCTTTTTTTTTTCTTTCTTTTTTGGTTTTTTGAGACAGGGTTTCTCTGTGTAGCTTTGGAGCCTATCCTGGCACTCGCTCTGGAGACCAGGCTGGCCTGGAATTTACAGAGATCCGCCTGCCTCTGTCTCCCGAGTGCTGTGATTAAAGTCGTGCGCCACCAATGCCTGGCTCAAAACAGAAATCTGTTCACATTCATCCTTCTTCAAACCTTGACAAGGCTTCCCACTGCTTCTCAGTAAGACAGCCAACCTTCCTCTCTGTGTTCCATTAGTGTATGATCTAGGGGCACTGCCTAGTACCTGAGCATTTTTTTTTCTTCATAAAGAATAAGGATCCTAGTAAAACATGGATGGTTGGTAGTGATTCGATGCATGGGGTGATCTGTTCACTTCCTGCTCGGGAACTCTGCTAAGTCCTTTACCCACTCTCGCTGTGTGTCCCTGAGATCTGAAAAGTTCCTAGAGAAGAAAGCTGAGATTTGAGAGCAGCAGCAACTCAGTAAAGGAAAATGGAGACACACCTGCGTGGTTGTTCAAGCTGCTCAACCAGTTACAGGGGAAGCAGAGACAGAAGGACTACAAGTTCAAAGCCAGCCTGGGTTTCAGGACAACACTTTGTCTCAAAAAAGAGATATCTTCTTGACTAACTGAATTTGATCCCTGGGACCCAGATGGTAGAAGAAGAGAACAGACTCCCAAGTTGTCCTCTCTCATTTTCACAGAGTGCCATGGCACTCAGACAACCCCTTCAACATACACATAGAATAAACAAACGTAATTGTAAAAATCCAGGACATCGAAAGAAAAGAGGGTTGGGGAAATGGCATAGTTGGTAAAGTGCATGCTCTGGTATCATGGGGAGCAAAATGTGAACCCCAGAACCCATGTATAACAACCAGGCATAGTGGGGTGGGCTTGTAGTCCCAGGCCTGGGGAAACAAAGACAAGTGGACCACTGGGGCTCGATAGACAGTCAGGTTCACCTACCCTGCATGCTCCAGGTCCCACTGAGATACCCTGTCTTAAAAACAAGATGGGTGACTGCTGAGGGGCATGGTATCCCAAGCACTTATGAACACTCATGTACACACACACACACACACACACACACACACACACACAGACACACGGATACACTCGAGCACTCTGGTTTTGGATTCTGGCTCTGATTAGCTTGATCTTTAATTGTGACCTAATTGATTGGCATATGGACCCTTATTTACCCCTTCACTGCGGGCTAGTTGTTACCACTTCACCCTTTTGTCACCACTCATTCATCTGCTCTATCATTCAGATAAGCAATTTGAAATCTGGGGATGGAAAAGAACATAAAGCTAAAGCCATGGGTGGAAGGGAGGAAATAGGGATGCTGGGTGAACATACTGTGAATGATGTTACCATCACTTTATGTTTTCCATGCAGTCAAGCATTCACATTCAGAATTCTCATAAGCAGTTATGCTGATTGAGGTGTGCTGAGTATAGATAGTGCATCCTCCAGGAGCTTCTCTGCCCAAGCTCCTCTTGGTACCTCTGGGCTTAGTTCCTGTAGCTTCTCTAATGCTTCCCTGGAGTCTGGGTCAGTCGGAATTTCAGATCTTTATGTTGGGAAATACTTTGCAAAATGATTAGGACATAACGTGAAAACAGACTTTTGTATAGGTCCTTGGGGTGAACCGAGTGTCTGGAGGCCAGACAATTGGGTGGGAGAAAAGGAAAGGACCGTGTAGGCTAAGGACTTTATTGAAGTTCTGGGTATGATCCATGCAGCCCTCCTGTGGTTCCTTGACTTTAATTTTTTTTTTTTTTTAATTTTTCGAGACTGTTTTTCTGTGTAGCTTTGTAGACCAGGCTGGCTCCAGAGTCACAGAGATCCGACTTCCTCTGTCTCCTGGGTGCTGGGATTAAAGGCATGTGCCACCACCCACGGTTGGTTGCTCCT